GGGCGAGCGGGAAGCGGGTGGCGGTGGCCACCCCCTGCCGTCCCGCCCCGCCCCGCTCGGGCAGGGGGAAGTCAGACGGGCGCTGGCTTTCCCTTTCGCTCTCTCCCGCCCGGGGCCGCCCGGGCTGGCCCTGCCCTTCCCCGGCACGGAGCGGAGCGGTCCTGCCCTCCCCCGGCACGGCCACCCCCCGGGCGGCGGCAGCGAGGGGCGCCGGCAGCCGCTGAGCCCGCAGGAGCGGCCCGCAGCCTCCCCGCATCTCGCACCCCGAGGGTCAGCAGGGCCGCAGCAGCTCCTCATGGCAGGGTTGGGGGGGGACCAGGAGCCGGAGCTGCACCCCTTCCCCGCACCCTGTAAGGGACAGCGGGGCACGGACCCGCAGCATCCCCTTTCCAGCACCCGCTGCTGCTCTCATAGAGTCATAGGATGGTCAGAGTTGGAAGGGACCTTAAAGATCGTCGAGTTCCAACCCCCCTGCCATAGGCAGAGACATCTTTCACCAGACCAGGTTGCCCAAAGCCCCGTCCAGCCTGGCCTTGAGCACTTCCAGGGATGCTTCCAGTAGTGGTGCACAAAGCTACTTAACGTGAGGCAGCAGTCTCCGGCACCGATTTTATCTACAGTATTAGAGATTTATTTAGATGCAGTGGCTTAACCGATTTCCCGTTCACTGCAACAAATTTCCAGGAGATTTCTTACATAATGTAGTAATAATGTTTCTAGCAACCAAAGTGGGGTGGGTGCCAGTGACCTGGGGTCCTTTGTGCCACACAGGAACGCTGAAAATACCTCTTAGAAACAGTAGTGTTGAGGTCGTATGCAGCACACACAATAAATTGCTGTTCTGGCATCTGGTTTCAGTGGTCCTAAGCCCCAGAATCCCACACAGGGCTGTGGTCTGCTTATCTAATATGCACCTCTGAAATGCTCCCGGCTGCCTCTGCCAACATGCTTCTCTGAACCACAGCGAAGTTCCCCAAACTGATGAGCTGGAGGAGAGAATGGAAAGTGAGGAAAGATGTGGCTTTTGTCCTGAGCTAGGGTGGGATTTGGTGCAGCAGCCCACAGCCTTTGCAATTGGTGGTAGTCAGTGGTGTCTGCACGTCATAGCACATGTAACCACCATCCAAAGCACTCTTAACATTTTGAAGGGAGACTAAATATTACTTTTGACCCCAATCACTGCATAATCTTTATCAAATTCTCAAGTCTTTCTTCCTTCATCCAGTCTTGAAAAAGGAGCATAATTATTTTTGCTACTTTTGCCTGTTTTGTTTTGTTTGTAATGTGGCTTCCCAGTGAAAGGAGGCTTATGAGATTATACCATCTGTCTGTCATTCCCCAGTGATCTCCAGTTCCAAACCAATGTGACAGAAGGATAAAGATCTCAAAGAGATTTAAATTCTTAAAACATTTAATGACAATCAACAGCAACATGCAATTTGTTGCCCTGCTGAGGGAAGGGCTGTGGTGCAAATGCAGCATATTTATCTGCTTGTTCTTCTGCTGCATAATAGCAAACAAATGCTTCCTGGCTGATCTGCCATCTCCAAATCTGTCACACTGTCTATTGCTCAGCTAACCAGGGAAATATGAGGTAAAAGAGAGGTATTGAAAGTAGTGTATTAGGAGGACAGATGAGAAAAGAGGAGTTAGGATCATTGTAGGTGGCTGCTGTCATGGGAAGATGTAAAAAGCATAACACAAATTTGAAAAATTCGTGGCTCTGCTACTTAGAGATAGGCTTGTTTTCCTTGAATTTTGATCCCAAATATTTCATTCCAGTGTCTTTACTCAGAGTTGTAGCATGAAAACGCCCCTTCCAGGGGTCAGGTCAGGCACAGCTCTGCTTTCCAACCATCTTCATCATGAGTGGCAGCAAGCCTGTCACCAGGCTGAGCAGTCAGGATTTGGAGAAGCTGGAAAAAGTCTTCAGGCCAGAGAAGAGCAGCTCCTGGTCCCAGTCACCACCACTGTCCTGCTCAGAGACTTCAGCATCAGTCTAAGAGGGCCAGCTCCAATAAGAGGCTATTCCTGGTTGAATACTGTAGGTGGGTCCATTGCCTTTGGAGAAGAGGAGAAAAGCAGTCAGGAAGCAGTTCTGTGGTGGTTACCAACCTGAACTGTCATCTCTCTGCCTGTGTTAACCTGTGGCAATATATTTCCCAGAGCTGTGCCCAGCTTGAATGCTCATCCTGCTGTGTTTGCCACCACCCTGCGTGTACTTGGGAGCAAAATCAGAGCTCCTCAAGGGTATTCTTTGGTTTTATTTATGTTTCCCCCCCCACCTTGTCCACCCAAGGAAAGAGTCATCACTCAAGTGATGAAGACTCCTTTTAACCTTTGCAAGACACCTGAAAAATTAAAAGATGGTAACTTGGTACTGGGCCCTGGGAGTGCTGTTGAAGTGCTGCTGCTGAAAGCAGTGCTATGCTAACGTAAATATTTTGCTCTCCAGACCCACATGGTATCTCTACATAGCACTCAGCTGTGTGAACATATGCACTGAACTGAGATGTCTCTGTTCTGCGCTGGGTTGCTCGCTGCTGACATACCCTCCGTTTCCTCTGTTGCTGGAGATTGTGAACTGAGGGCCTAACATGAAAGCCTTCCAGCTTCAGCACCTTATAAATGAAATCTTGACTTTCCAAATGCAGCATGTAGCAGCCTTATCTACATCTCAAAAATGTAGTAATGCCCATGGGGTTCCAGGAAAGAGCTATGTCTTGCTTTTACTAAATCTCCTGGGGAGTCTGAGAAATAGGAATGCATCCAAAATTGAATGACTTTGTGGTTTCTGAGCTAAGCTAGAAAGGAAAGGAGTTTTCTGCTCTTGCCCATTAATTTGTAGGGCATTTGGATTTAAACAATCAAAACAGAATGTTTGATGCTATCTTTGTATGTAGTCTTTTTAATAGTAAGTATGCAGCAAAAGTAAGTCGTACACATACTCTGAACTCTGTTAGAAGGAGTAAAATGAAAACCAAGTTCCTCTGTCTGAGCTGCCAATATTTTTCCGATGATAAGAACAGCCACTGAGTAAGATTTATATGTTCTTGTTCAAGAAACAGGTCAAAGTGCATTACTAATCAAAAAAAAAAAAAGGTATTTTTTTTCTTCTTTTGATATTTACATCTGTCTGGAAAGATGTGATATATTTCCAGGCTTTTAAAATGGTGAGATCAGAAGCAAGGAAAAGACTCTCAATGGAAAGAATTTTATACCTTTAAATGTATAGATCCTAATATGTATTGTGCATGATTATATCACAAACATGTAGACTCTAGAGCTCAACTCTCCCAGAGCCACGTCAGGGTCACTTCAGCGTGCAATTGCAGTTATTTTTATGTTATATATGCATTGTGATTTTTCATGCTGAGACTGTAGCATAAGTATGCTGTTCCCAGGACAGAACCTGAGAAGGGCTTTGATATAGGTCAGCTTGCCATGGCAAAATGTGTGGCAACACTGTCACATTACAGCTAACCTGCCAGATAAATAATTAGGAAGAGCCTCCTGTTTGTAGATAATATAAATAACACAGGCAGAAATGACAAAAAGAGCAGTTGGTTTGAGTCAAAGATGTGCAAGGTGAAGTTGCATCATGCCTTGAAGGCACACACATTTACACTGAAGAAATCTTCCCATTGCATCAAAGTATTCACTTTCCTTTTGTGCCTCCTGATAGTTTCTTGTTCATCTGACAGTCGTTCAGGTTGTTGTGGTCACTCCTCATCAGCGTTTTGCATTCTCTTTCTCACTTCCTCCCCCTCCTCCCCTCTCTCCAGGTTTGAGGGGGAAATAAGAATGCAAAAACCTGTGGCATTACATTGTAATCTTGTGTCTTTTCCTGGCTGTGCTTTGCTGCTGGTCTTTCTTTAATAATATGTTCATTTGGAAGAGCCGCATAAATTAGCTAGTGACATAGATCTTAAGTTCTTCAAAGATGATCTATTCCATCTCCATCACTTCGAGCGTGGCTCATTCCAGTGTTCATGGTTAGGTGACAAGCAAAGCTGAATCCAGCACAAGTGCAGAGGATTGCCACAGAGGAGGCATAAGGTTCACTGGCCTGTGATCTCTTTTCCCTAAGCAATCTTCTTTAACTATTGCAATGTGTCATGGTTTGGGCTGGACTGGCCACTGAAATGAAGGACAGATGCTCTGTGACCTCTCTTCCTTCAGGGAGGGGAGGAAAAAAGAGAAAGAGACAAGAGTTTAAAATAAACTAAACTACTGTAATGAAATATTAATAATAAAATAATAAAAAGAAAAGATAATAATATCAAAATAGAAAAAAAATAAATATATACAATATATGCAAAACCATATCAACAATCACATCACTGGAGGGCAC